GACATGCTATGGGCTTTTTCTGTATTTCTTACTCAGCTTTAGAGAAACATGAATGTAGCAGTAAAGAGTGTAATACAACGAAGTGCATGAAATTAGACGTATTTTAACAGGACATGCTATTGGTGGTTTTCAGATTCTAAAATGTAGAGATGTCATACTTCCAGAAGGGGGCAAGGGCCAGTTTTTCCTATTAATTATATTGTACTTTACCAAGAAATATCCAAAAAGGTAAATCCCCAAATATGGAATCTGATCATTTCTATCACTGACTAGACCCAAGCCCATGCCATATTACAACAGTTGAACAATATAAATTTTAGCTGCCCCCCGCCTATAGAATGCTGCAGTGTCATCTGAAACCCAGCAACAGCAATTTCATGCTTAAAATGTATTGAATAAATATGCATAATCAGAACCAGGTGTAAAAATGTTGGTAAATTTGGTTTAAATTTACATTTTATTTACAAAAAATTTATAGCGTGCAGCAACCAAACCCTTAAACCATATGTTTATTATTATACGGTATTGTCTTGGCATATTTGTAATATGTATATTGTAAGATTTAGTCTTGCATATGTCACTCTTCCGGACATTCTACTTTTTTATATGGTATTCATCCTTACATTCTGCCTTAAATGTCTGCACTGTTGTGACACATCACAAAGAGAAATCCAGCCTTACCAAACGTCAAGTGTGAAAAAGCTCATCTATCTATAAAGCCCAAACTAGGCCTGGGTGTGAGTCCACTCTTCATCCCTCGACACTAAAAAATGCAGCAGATGCCCCAAAGACGAGTCCAGATGAGTGGATAACTCCACAGACTCCAGTAACAGCCCCATGGAGCACTTCCAAATGTAGGATTTCAGCCATGCTAATAGCTCAGCCCTAGGGTCAGGGCCAGTGCTCTGGCCAAAATGGCTTGTGCCCATGTGTGCCGCCCACACTGACATGCACTCTAACATACAAATACAGATGCCAGGCAGATGTTTCCATCAGATCAACCAAACACAATCAGATAGATTCCTACAAAATGGGATCCAGGTATTAAATTCCTCTAACTTAAGAGGTTAAAAGGAAAGGTGCTTTTACAATAAAGTCATTGCAAAATACAAATCTAGTTAATTTAATAAAGTATACAATACAGTTAAGTAATGTTTGCACAGTATAACTGAAGATGACAACAGTAATATTTCCAAGCTTAGGTGCGAGGCCCCCTATGGGGTCTCAGAGGCACAGCAGTTTCACACAACAAGCATAGAAGTGAGTGTGATTGGTGGTGGGAAGAGGGACAGATGGATTGGCTGCTTCCCTCCTGTCAATCTGCCCCAGGGCAGCTGTGACTGCAGAAATGCACAAAATGATAAACTTTGAGAGTTTGAAAAAGAGAGAAAAGAAACATTATTATTATTATTATTATTATTATTATTATTATTATTATTATTATTATTATTATTATTATTATTATTATTATCAGATACACATGAAGATATTATCAACAATACTTGTGACTTTGATTTCTTGTTATAAAAACATACATTTTCATACATATTTTTCCTTGGCCTTCCAAGGAATAAACCAACAAATACATCAATTTTGAGATTGCAAGAATTTAAAAGAAAAATTTAAGAAAATATTATTTTAAAAATTTAACACTGGGAGATAAGCTTCCCCTTAACATTACATAAGGCCATGTGCAATATTCCACTTTTACTTCTCTTTCTCTCTTTCCCTCTCTCTCCATTTGCCTCTCAACTTTTATTACACTGAACAATTCCCAAATTAGGGATGAAGCTGTTTGCACCCGAGAGGATAAAACCAGGATATATATGAATTTGTTTTAGGATTGATTGCTCCAATGCATTAATAATGGTTGCTTTTGCTTTTCTTTTGAACTGCCACAAGTGAGCTTTAAGTTATGTTATAGTGTTGTTACTTCATTAAAAACATACCTGGAATTGTGTTTTGTTTCGTTCACACATGAAAGAAGAACATAGTGTAAATATGTAGGGTTTGTGTATTAAACTTACACTTAAATTATTAAATGTTTGAATGAAAGCAATCACAACTCCAGACAGGTTTTTGATAAGGAAACAATGTTATGACACAAATCAAAAATAGCATAATATGGGCTCTTTAACATTAGAGACACTGAGAGACCAGCATTCACAATTTAGGCAATTATTTACATTTGTTTTGGTAGCTCCTTTTCTAAGTCCATTAAAACAAATAGATAGAAGACTGACAAAGACTTCCCCTTGTTTTATATTGCATTAAAACAACAACAAGAAAAAACAAACAAACAAACAAACAAAAAAAAACAGTACTCAGCTCTACTCAAGCAAAAATCATCCCATTTTGTCCAACCATATAGGACATGCTCAAG